CCTTCGGTTCAGTTCAACACACGAGAAATATTTCTCCATCTATCTATGTTCCTCCACAAAAAAAAATTCTTTTAATTCTTAATTAAATCATTGATTAAAATTTCGAATTAATATTTTACAGAAGATATGAACAAAAAAGTAAAGTATATTTTTTTCTAGTTGCTGCAGCATTGAGTGAAGATTAAAGCTGAGCTGCAAAAACAATCTTGAAATATGTAAAGATTTCTTAAATTAAGTGTATTTACCCTTAATTTCAGAAGGTAAATAAGAGGATTTGCCATTGGAATGAGTATTTTTACACTAAAAATAAGATAATTAGATAAAATGCTCGTGAAATAACACAATGCAATTGTTTTTTTTTTTATTTTAAATGTAACTTGTCTTGTTCCATTGGTAAAGCGCCTCACTTACCTCCTCAAGAAAAATTATTTATTAAGATCTCAATCTTTTGCAGTGTGGCTTCACCTCATCTGAAATTTGATTTCTTTTTCCCTGTCTTTCCTTCTTATTCTCTTAAAAAAAAAAAAAAAAAAAAAAAAACGACCACACATGCTCGCAATTACCTACAGTAACCATAGAGACAGAGAACCGGCACTGATGGACAGAATAATGGGCCCGGCTCTCTCTGACCCTTGCACCGCAGCTTTTACACAGAAATACTAAACTCCAGCTGCTGCTGTTGCTCAGCTTTTGTTTTAAAAAGATAATAAAAGGAACCAAATCCAGATGGACGGACCTGGGAAGGCGATTAAAAGTAGAAAATAAAGGACGGAAAAAATAAACCGGAGTCAATTTGCTGCTGTGAGGAGAAGTCAGTGGGTTAGCTCGCTCCTACGGCTCCCAGATTTTACTCCAAACCTTTTAGATCCTGGAATTTGTTTCAGATAAATTCCAGTAAATGCCATCATTCATATCACTGTGTAATGAATGAGGTATTTCTAGATTAATATCCAGTCTGTCAGAGGCATCTGAAGGCTTCACAACAACCCTAAAATATGGGTTGTTTTTTTATATTGTATGCCCTTTTTTAAATTGAAAAAAGTAATACATACTAAACATACTAAATCTAAAACAGTCTAAAGCCTATACAGTACTTGATAAAAATAAATATTACATAAAAAGTATACATACGCTCCCATTAAATGTGGAAAAAAATCAACTGACAGTGAAACAGCAAAAATTCAATGAAAATAGTGCTATTCTTTTTGAATAGTGGTTCAACAGAAATATTAATGATAAAAACACAAACAAAAGAAAAACAGGTAAACCAGAACGATGGAGCTCCTCAACTAAAGATGAGGGAATAACTGCAATCAGGTGTTTTTTTTTATTAAATGTTAAGTCAGATTTCTACTCCTGTTGATGGTTTATTGGTGAAATGTTCATGAAGATACTCGCTGTCTGGGAGTTTTTTTTATTTTTTATATCACAATTCAAAATCAATATTTTTATTTATTATATCATAATTTTGTATGTTTTCATTTATATTTTTTTCAGTTTCTTGTTATTAGAGAGGGCTGCTCAGTGGCGGTGGGTAGCATTGCTGCCTTGCAGGAGAAAGGTTTAATTCCCGGCCTGGGGTCTTTCTGCATGGAGTTTGCATTTTCTCCCTGAGCATGTGTAGGTTCTCTCCGGGTACTCCGGCTTCCTCCCAGAGTCCAAAATCATGACTGTTAGGTTATTTGGATTCTCTAAATTCTCCTTTGGTGTGAGTGTGGGCGTGAATGGTTGTTTGTCCTGTTTGTCTCTGTGTTTCCCTGGCGACCTGTCCAGGGTGAACCCTGCCTCTCGCCTATAGGCAGCAGGAGATAGGCACCAGCACCCCTTGCGAGCCCAGCTGAGATAAAGCGTGACTGAAAATGGATGGGTGGATGTTATTAGAATTACTGTTGTGAATTTATCCTTTTCTTTATATTGCAAAGTGTGTCTAAACATTCCAGAGCAACTGTATATATTTACCTTGTTAAATACGATCCATTTAGGATTGCAAGTCCAAAGAAGGAGAGGTGTACAAGGGGATGCAGAGGAGCAAGATGTAAGGTGAGGAAAAGGCAGGTACGTTTCGGTACATCTTGTCCATGAAGACAAAAACACAGATAGACAAAACACCAAAGTCCCAGATAAGATGCATAAGATGAAAATGCATGTAGAAAACTTTGAAATGTATCTTGCCTGTCCATGGTAAATGGTAAATGGCATGTACTTATATACAGTAGCGCCTTTATTCAAGTTAGAAGACTTGACAAAAGCGCGTTACACTACATTCATTCACCCATTCACACACAGACAGCTCCCTGGGTGCTCAGCAGCCCTAAACCTCTCATGCTTTAACCTGAAATGATCATCAGTCCATTCTTCCT